GAAAAAAAAAAAAAAAAAAAAAAAAAAAAAAAAAAAAAAGAAAGAAATTTCTACTGAAGTTCTTATCACTTTTAATGACATACCCCTTAACAGAAGAATCTTGTGCCTCAAAGATAAGATTAAATTAAAGACCACAGGAGAATCACTTACATCCATCTCCAAGAGATTGAACATACTTGACTCTGCAATTTCTTTAGACTCATCAAACTTCTCCAGAGCTTGACGCAGTTCCTCATCTGGAATCTTGCCTTGCCGTTTCTTCTTATAATCGAAGTCCAGGCGTCGACCCTCCAACTTCTTTAGATGATGCTGAGAAAGTCAAGGACAAGAATACATTTTGAAAGGAGTTATGGAAAAAGCCTACTTGCAGCTAACTTCCCTGTCATGCCTATTAGCCTCCAAAATAAGATAGGCTAAGCTTTAAAATATCACATCACCAGAGAAGTAAAGAAACATGCATCACCAGGGAAGGCAAATGCTTCCAAAGGCTAACTATGGGGAGATATCTTTAAAAACAATTAAGAAAAAGAAGTAAACTGTGGGAAACATCAGTACCCTTTATGTTCTGGCCTTGCCAGGCCAAAGCCAAGCTGGACATGCCTTTCCATCCCATGACAGAAGCAGGGAATGCATGTACGCACCATAAACACACTGAAAGGACACACTTGTAGGTCCCACAAGTCCCCATCTTTAAGAGAAATGGTATCTCAACAGAAGACAGAGGAAAAACACTTTCCTTGAAATAAAGTGAGAAAAGAATGATGTTCTTGCTTTTTGAGTCATCTAGTCTGTTAGAATCACCTAAGTTGCTTATTAAAAATATCAATACCTGATCACCTGAATCAGAATATCCAGGGCTGGGGGCATAGGAATCTGTATCTTAACACTTGCCCCAGTTGGCTCTTGGAGCTTTCAGGGAACTATTGATTTAGCTTACGCCTCCCACTTGACAGATGATGAAACAATCACAAAACCTAACTTGGAAGGGACTTTCGATGAGATTTCACTGAATGCTCCACACTGAGCTTCAATCCCTCCTTGCATCATTCTCAGTGAGTGGCTGCCCAGCCTCTGCCCAACATCTTTAGTGACCAGGTAGGAAAGTAGTTTTCCAAAGCTAAAATGTATAAGAAGGTACTTCGAAAAGTTTGTAGAAAAATTGGAATAAAAAATATGAATCCTTCCATGAATTTCTGAGGATTCCTTGTATTTTTTTCAATACCTGCAGTCTTTCACTACTAACATGTGGGAGAAAATGCTGGATTTCCCCTTGTTCTTGGGTATCTGTAGAATGGAAGGGAAGGAGATGAACAGATTTGGGGGTGACAAAGAAAGGAGAAGGAAAGGAGGAAGAACAATCCTAGACCTTCCCTCTCACAGCATCCCTACCCCCAAATACACACGCTGGTCCAAACTAAATGTTTCTCCCTTTGGGAGGAACATTTTAAAAAAATATCTGAACTTCACAGTCAGCTGCAGGGTAGAGCATTGGAGTCAGAGTTATGTTTTGGACTTAGGGTGAATCTACTACTTACTAACAGTGTGATCTTGGGCGATGGTAGGGCTGAAGGATATTTAAGCTAGAATAAGGAAAACTAGAAGACCTCACTTCGAGTTAGGGCAGTCCATTTTATAGTCAACGAAATTAAGATTCAGACACTTTTTTTTTTTTTTTTTTTTTGTCTTTTTTCGTGACCGGCAACAGATCGCAACCCTCAGTGTCGCGCCCGTACCGGACCGGGACCGGCAACAGGATTGCAACCCTCGGCGTTGCTCCTGCACCTCGCTCAGCCAGTGAGCGGGAACCGGTCTGTATGTGGGATCCGAACCCTCGGCGGGAGCGCCGCCGCACTTCCCAAGCGGCGCACTGTAGGGCCGGCCCCAAGATTCAGACACGTTTAACAAATGTTTGTTGAAAGAATGAATGAGCAAACATTACACCCCCAGTTAGAGACAAAGCCAGTTGAACTTTACTACAAATAGCTCAACTGTTCTACATACTTTAAAAGAGAATAGTTGGGTATTATTCCTCAATCCAACAATCACTATGAGAATATAAAAACATGTTTATAGAGTGATAGAATAACTACTTAAGCTAACAACCAGTATGACCAGCATTCCAGGAGGTGAAATCATCCCAACAAACCATACAGTAATTAATAAAATTGTATATTCTCAGGGGAAAGATACTATCCTACTGGAGAAAAAAAGCTGGCTAAAAATATGCAGTATGAAAATTGAATAGAAAGAGTCAAATGTAATACTCATGAGTAGCACAGTCACAATAGTGGGCTGAAGGGTATTACATTTCTGGTTTCTCTCAATTTGTCTTGCTGGATTGTTTTGCAATTCATGTGCCCAGCTCTGACAACATGCAGGGGTAAGCTAAGAAATATTTTCTAAAGGAAAACAGTATTTGCATCTGTGTGATTTCATCTGCCCACTTCCCAGAGGACTAGCTGCACATACTTGAATCTCCCTCAGATCTTTGTCATGAAGATTTTGAAGGGGGTCAATGAAGTTCTGCTTCACTTCCATGTCCAAAGAGTCTTTTACCTCTGACAGCTCCCGCATGGCCTCCCCCACCTCACCAAGCGCTGGGCCTAAAAGGGGAGAATGAAGCTCTTTTATGTTAAAGAATAAAGATGAAATAAATGCATTTGTAGTAAGAGGACCCTTGCAGATAAAAAAGCCAGGGATTACCACCTGTCTTCTGAAGACAACATAGACGAGAGAGAATATAGAATGATCTCCAGAGAACAGTGTCTTTTTCTACCTACAGTAGTTCATTCCTGGCAACGGACTCAGTGCTCCCTAAGGGGGTATTATCTCTTATTATCCAGGAATGAAACATTTTGCTTTTCCTTTAAAAAGCAACTTAGGAAGCCCATTGCCTTCTCTGTAAGTACCAGCTTTGCCTAATATGGGATTGGTTTAAGGCCAATGCATTTAGCAAAGCAAATACCAGCACTAGAGAGCAGGGTCCAACCAGGAAGGACAGTCATTTGCTGAGACTCCACATCAAGAGGAGGTGAAAACAGAAGTTGTTCAGTGTGGTATCTGAGTGTCAGAGGAGAGGGGTTGAAGGAATAAGCCATGTCTCACCTGGGGCAGTGGAATTAGTTACGACATACAAATGAGCAAAGATCGAAGAGAAAGCCCATGTGGCAGGGCACTGAATTATGCTGATTGTGACTGCTCACTCTGTCTCAATACTCAGTTACTGCCAGGCACACCTAATAGAATGTGCAAGGCATCTAGATATGTCAACCAAAGCTGTTGTAAAGATTGGGGTCTCATTGGGGAAGAAGGAAAAGTAAAATTCCTGTGACAAATCACCTTAAAAATGATGAAACAATTCTGAAAACAAATTTTTGGTCCATGTGTACCAGATCTAAAACTGAGAATCAAAATATAAAATGATTTGGCTAACCTCCTACAGAATTTTTTACCGGCACTAAAATCCCCATGGACAAACAAAAGAATTACAACGTGAGAAAGCACTCGTTACCGAAGTTGCAATCATCTCCAAGCTCTCTTCCAAATTTGAGCATGGCCTCTGCCAGCAGCGCCTCCGCCTGGGGATAGCCTGGCCCCTTCTCCTGGCCACGGATTTTTGACATGGTGTTGATCATGCTGAGCTTAGCTCTGGAAGCTGAAGGCAGAGAGAGAACAAGCTTTCAAAGTAGGCAATGTGATATAGTAGAAACAAGGCTGGAGGGAGAACTGGGCCTCAAGCCAGCCTATAAACCAGATCAACAACTGAGAACTACCTTCACTTGCCAAGCTTCAGTGTCCTAACCTATAGTATGGGGGCATATATGTGTGTATATGTGTATGTGTGTGTGTGCATGCGAGGGTATTTCAAAAAGTTCAGGGAAAGATTTCTATTATCTTTTAATTCTATTTTTCCATAAACTTTTTGAAGTACCCTTGTGTGTGTGTATATGGGTCTATATATTGTATTAGTCCATTTCTACTGCTTATAACAGAATGTCTAAAATTGGGTAATTTGTAAAGAAACTGTATTTACTGCTGACAGTTTCAGAGGCTGGGAAATCCAAAGTCCAGGGAACACATCTAATGAGGGCCTCTGGTGGTGGGCTCTACAGCGATTCAGGGTATCAAATGGTGAATGTCTTGAGCAAGAGAGAGCTAAGCTTCTCAGGTGCTCTCCTTTTAAAGCCATCAGAACCACACCCATTACTCAATGAATAAATCAAGCCATTTACAAGGTAAAGTCCTCAAAATCTTGTCACTTTTTCAATACACCACCTTTCTATTACCATAATAGGCTTTCCCACCCTCTTAACAGTTATAGTAGGGTCAAGCTTCAATGAGTTTTGGGGGGACATTCAGTCTACAGTGCATATATACATACACACACACATACACACACACATATATTTCAAAAGCACTAAACTAAACTCTCCCTTTCCCTTAAAATTTTATGAGAAATTAAATAGAAAGTGTAAAACTATTCTGGGTGAAGCAGAACCAGGGGAATCAGATCTCATCCCCGTGCCCTTCCCCATCATCTCTTCACTGTGGTGGCCCCAGCTATGACTCTGTGGAGCTGAGTGGCTCCACACATTTTGGAAACTCCTGGATCATGTGATGATTGCTAAGTTTTACCTTAGTTTTATATTTCAATTCCAGGAGTCTATGAGTTAACATAAGGAAGTGATGGTAAATTCTTGCAGTGTGGACCTTATGTCATGTTTCACTTATACCATGTATAAACTAGAATTATTTTCAAAATCATTTCTCAACTAAACCTCTGTCAGTAAACAGACCCATGAAGAAAAATATTGTGTTTATTGAAGACTTAATCACTTCTCTAGCACATAACTGAATCTGAAAATTTGTTTTGTGCCTCAAAGATAGCATTTCAATTTTTTTTTTAATAAAAGATGTCTAGAAAGCAATTTCAATTTTAGTGGAAGAAACAGTTTATTAACAAATTGTTAAAGCCTATGATTTAAATGATGCCAGGATACCTGGATTTCTCATTAACCTAGGACTGTGCCTACGATCCCATCTGAATGTAGCCCTGGTGGAATCACAGGAAAAGGTACTTCCAGCATTCAGTAGCTGACAGCTAATCTTGAACATCTATTTCATACATGCTTTTACTTCAACTTTGGGCCTCAAAGGTGTAGACTGGAGATGAGGACAGTTATCAGGAGAGAACTGCCCCCAGCCTTGCCCCAGGGATTTTACACTAAAGTTTGTAAAGAACTGAGGGTAGAGTCTACTTTAAAAGGCAATCAGGTACAGAAGTCTCAGCAGAACGATGGCCGAACACTCCTATGTGAAGTCCACCAGACTCATACTCGAACCAAGGCTAAGAGTAAGAAGAAAAAAGGCAAAGATAAGAAGAGGAAAATAAGAGAGGATGAGAACACCCAACTTCATGTTGTTGGAATCTGGTGGACGGCAACAAACTTCGGTGAAATTTCAGGACCCACAGCCATTGAGACAGATAAATGAACCCATATACATGCATTTGACAATGGTCTTTTTACACTGGGACCTCCACATAAAGAAGATGATGAGGGCCCTAGTCATGCAGAGCAGTTTACTGCTGTCAAACTGTCTGATTCCAGAATTGCCCTGAAGTCCGGCTATGGAAAACATCTTGGTATAAATTCAGATGGACTTGTTGTTGGGTGCTCAGATGCAATTGGACCAAAGGAACAGTGGGAACCAGTTTTCCAAGATGGGAAAATGGCTTTCTTGGCCTCAAATAGCTGCTTTATTAGATGCAATGAAGCAGGCAATATAGAAACAAAGTAAAACAGCAGGAGAAGAAGAAATGATAAAGATTAGGTCTTGTGCTGAAAGAGAAACCAAGCAAAAAGATGACATAACAGAGGAGGACAAAGGAAATGTAAAACAGTGTGAAATCAATTATGTAAAGAAATTTCAGAGCTTCCAAGACCACAAACTTAACATAAGTAAAGAAGACAGTAAAATCTTAAAAAGGCTCGGAAAGATGGGTTTTTGCATGAGACACTTTTGGACAGGAGAGCCAAATTGAAAGCTGATAGATACTGCAAATGACTAGGAGGCTGGTTTCTGTCTTATCCTTTTGTTTTTTTGGGTGTGCTGCCAGTATAAATCTGGCCCTCACATCTTGGGCACAAGAGGTGACAATCAGCTTTATCTCATGAATATTCATAACCAATGAAAAAAGGAAATTAAAAAAATATATAAGAATAAAATATTCAGTGGAAGTGCTTTTACAGGAAAAAAAAATAAAATAAAAATATAAAAGCAATTAGACTGAAGTGTATATACTACGTGCCATGATGGGGGATTGCAGCAAGTCACAGAAATATGGCACTATCCTAGTCTGTGGTGGTAGGGGTTGCAAAGAAGTGCTCCTGAAAGGAAATATATTTAAGCTTTGAACCTTATAGCGTGTAGTAGTTAGGCAAACAGCATGTGCAAAGCCTGGTAGTGACCAGAAAAACATAAAATTCACCTTTTACTTACTTTTTTATAGAAAAGTATATCATATATGTTAGATTTCAAAAACTAAAAATGCCTCAACCATTTCTGAGGGGACAATATGATCAGAGTATATTTGCAAAGCCTTTTCTGCGGCAAGCCGCATTCTAGAGCTGGGAAAGACACAGTCCCTGTCCTCCAGGTTCTCACAGTGTGTTGAGGAGTCAAACAGAGAGATAGTGGCAACAAATATGATACTAGTACAATGGCTAATATGCACGAAGTACTAGAGGAACAGAGAAAAAGGGGTAATAGCACAAATAAAATAAGCAAACACCAGACAATAAAAAGTACAAAACAAATTGAAGGAAAGAAGATAGATGAAGGTCAAAGAAATAGAGTAACGAAAGCACACAAGGTGGTTAATGCTTCAAATCCTGTTTTGATCATTTTACATTCTAAAGATGTATTCCTTTTATGAAAGCTGATATTGATTTGTACTTATATCTTGGTTCTGTTAAGAGTTGTCTTCTGGAAAGTCATTTTAAACAGTTTAATATATTGTGGCTGATTTTCGAATTAATCATTTTAAATGTTTTCAGTTACGAAAAGCCTTATTCTTTTGCTAATTACTTAAGAGCATCTTGGATATATGCTACATTTTCATAAGACAGAAGAAAGCCATATTCTATTAGTTTATCTATTCACGATCTAAAAAAACCTATTAATGTACATATTTGAAGAGATTATTGGCTTTTGAATTAATTTACAAAATCATTAAATTTTTATTAAGAATCTTGGATTAGTAAAACTTCTGTTCTTAAGAAATATCATCAGATGAATTTAACCATCTTGAAACTAGCATAATTGTTTTAAAATAATTTTTTAAAGTGGTACTTTAAGAAACTGAGAGTGAGCCTGGAAAATACAAATCTAAGACACTCAATTCCTATAATATGATCTTAGCCTGGATTGCTTCACCAAGTTGTACATGCCCATAGAGACCTAAACCCCTTCTCTTCTAAGGAAATGTAACTCCTCTCCTTCACACTTCCCCCCCTAGCTTTACTCTTTCTTACAAATAGGTATAACCTCTCTTAATATGCTACCGTCTTTACTTTCCCACTATCACTATCCAATTCAAGTTGCCCCCACGTGGTCTACCGCACAGACAGCTTCCTCGGAGCACTCTCTCCCCTGGTGCATGAGAGCGGGACGCAGCAGTTGATCTGTCCATCTCTCAGCAAGAGTAAGCAGAAAGCTGTGCATCCAGTAGATGTTTAACACGTGTCTGCAGAAGGTGTCAAGAAATGAATAAGAAGGTATCCCAGAAACCCATGGCAGTGGTTTCATAGCAGACTCTGCGCACATGCTTTGCTCATGTGAAGAGCCTTCTGAAGCATAACAGAGAACGGTAACTAGAATACCTGTTTCTTTTGTTGCAAAACGATATGGCAACTCAGTAGATTTTTTTTTTAAGAGAGAACAGAAAACACCTCACTCTACTAAGGGTGAGATTCCATTACAGTCTCCATGAGACACTTGTCAGCCTATGTCTCCCAGACAACCGGCAGTAGGTTTGTACCCTCTGGACACTGGACTGGGAGAGCTGAGGACACTCATGACTGGAAGCACACAATACTACATCCCTAGAATGAAGCCATTACTGTTAATAAGTCCATTCACCCCCACACAGCTTTATTGTCCTCTGTGTAAATGGAAAGGGGTAACCACTATCACCAGATTTTGAAGAAAGCGTATAACATGAGAGAAAACAATTACAGAAAACAAAACATCAGGGAGGAAAAAATAACAATCATTAATATTTTCAGGTATCTAAGATATTTTATCCCTGGAATACAGAAATAGAGAAGAACTCTTAGAAATTAAAATATAATTTAAATAAAACATAAAATTTAAAAATAAACAGAACCATACATGATAAAAGTGAGGCAAATACCCCAAAAAGTAGAACAAAAAACCAAAAAGATGGAAAATAGGAAAGAAAACATGAAATCATCATCAGTCAGGAAGTCCAACAGCTTAATAATGGAAGTTTCAGAAAGAAAGAATATTGACATAAAAGGGAAAGCAAATTTTTTTTTATAAATTCAAAAAAATTCCCAGAACTAAAGAACATGGGTTTCCAGAATGAAAGAGTCCACTGAATGTCCAGAACAATGAATAGAAATGTCC